TTAAAGAGGCAATTGAGCGGAACAAAGGCTCTAAAGTGTTCGCGAAAGATCTGTCTATTGGGCAAAGACAATTGACAAGGCTGAAATCTGACAACGGTAGCATCATCTCGTCAAAAGCGGAAATCTTAAAGGAGATCGAGAGTTTCTATAGACAGCTTTACTCCACCCAAATACCTGCTGAAAACAAGGCAAGAGATCCTAGAGCCAAACTTACCCGACACTTTACCGAAGAAATCCCGGACGTTAGTCTGTATGAGATTAGTGTGGCTCTTAAACAACTGAAAAACAACAAGGCAACGGGTGACGACGGAATTACCTCAGAGCTTCTGAGAGCGGGCGGTAAGCCGATACTCAAAGCTCTTCAATTCCTTTTAGTTTATCAGTTTTGCAATTGCAGCGTTTTATTTATATAGTTTTAGCAGTACTTCTATCAGTGCAAAGAGGGAACCGGAAGGGAAGATCTACCGGATATCATAAATTAAAAGATTAACAAATGGCTAGTGTAGCAGTGCCATACATCCTACTCTCAACAATTCCGTTATTCTCGGAGGTAAAACGCCGAAAGCATGGAGTGGGAGTGAGGTCGTCCTGTTTTTCAAAAAGGGTGATAAAGCACTCTTGAAAAACTATAGGCCGATCTCGCTTTTGAGTCACGTTTATAGGTTGTTCTCAAGGGTCATTACGAATCGTCTCACTCGCAGGCTCGACGACTTCCAACCTCCCGAACAAGCTGGATTCCGAAAAGGCTATAGTACCGTGGACCATATTCATACGCTGCGGCAAGTTATACAGAAGTCCGAAGAGTATAACCGGTCACTCTGCTTGGCGTTTGTGGACTACGAGGAAGCCTTTGATTCGATCGAGACATGGGCGGTGATGCAGTCTCTCCAAAGGTGCCAAGTGGACTACAGGTACATCGAAGCACTAAAGTGTCTGTATAAGAATGCTGCTATGTCAGTCCGAGTACAAAACCAGAACACTAATCCTATTAAATTGCAGCGAGGCGTAAGGCAGGGAGACGTTATCTCTCCAAAGCTATTCACCGCTGCGTTGGAGGATATTTTCAAGCTTCTGGATTGGAAAGGATATGGCATCAATATTAATGGCGACTATCTTACACACCTACATATGCTTTGCTGATGATGTAGTCCTAACGGCTGAGACCTTGGACGACCTGAACAATATGCTTGAAGATCTCAGTAGTGCATCTCAAAGAGTGGGTCTTAAGATGAACATGGATAAGATGAAAATTATGTCAAACGTCCATGTTGTACCCACTCCAGTTAAAATTGGGAATACTACTCTTGAAGTTATCGATCGTTATGTGTACCTAGGATAGACAGTCCAACTAGGCAAGTCCAATTTCGAGAAAGAGATCTCTCGTCGAATTCAGCTCGGATGGGCAGCGTTCGGGAAGCTACAAAAAATCTTCGTGTCCAAATTATCACAGTGTCTCAAGACCAAGGTCTTTAATCAGTGTGTGTTGCCAGTGATGACTTATGGAAGCGAAACGTGGTCGTTCACTATGGGTCACATAAGGCTCAAGATCACCCAGTGGGCAATGGAGAGAGCAATGCTTGGTATCTCTCTACGTGATCGAATTCACAATCAGGAAATCCGTAGGAGATCCAGAGCTACTGACATTGCTCAAAGAATTGCTTAGCTGAAGTGGCAGTGGGTAGGACACATAGCGAGAAGAACTGATGGCCGTTGGGGTAGAAGAGTTCTGGAATGGCGACCACGTACCAGACGGCGCTCAGTCGGTAGGTCCCCCACCAGGTGGACCGACGATCTTATAAAGAATCAGCGTTCACCAGGGTGATGAATTTAAGTGTTACGCGTGTTCAATTGTAAGCGCGTTAAAAATTTGTAAAACGTCATCTCGCTTACGATCGAATGTGAACTTAAACGTGGACCGTTTCTAATGACATTTCATATCAATCAGCAGAGTGATCGCCAGCTCTCAAGCCTAAATTCTAGCCATAGGATACGACATCTTTGCGATATTATGACGATACTTCCCACTTTACTACTTTGACATATTTATAGAGAGTTAGAATTATTCGCTATCCTCTGATCGATACTCCAGTATCCGAAGTAAAGTAAGTTATAAAAACAAAATTTATTAAATCGGAGGTATTAGAAAATGTATTCCCGCTCCCCCTACCAAGTCTATCAACCGGAGGATTTTGAAAAAAAAATATCCCATCGCTCCTAACAATCGAGCCAAATTTGCGAGAGCCTAAGGGGTTATACTCCAGGTCTTTATTTCTATAGATTTATCAGGGTTTTATTTTGTCATTAGATGCATTTATACCGGACAATGAAGACCAAATTTCAATAAGGTCATCAATTGGCAGATAAATCAACACTTCATTTTGATAGATCAATTAGGGCTTCATTTTGACAGATTAATGAGGGCTTCAATTTGACAGATCAGTATATTTATTTAAGTTCTCCAAGAATAGATACATCAAATTACTCTATAATTAAATCTTATATAATATATTACTAAATACTATATCAACTACAGAAGACCACAACATGCATTAATCATAATTAAGTCTACTTTTTAAAATTACAGGAACAATTTCAAAACATCTAAAATTCGTTAATAAAATTTCTAATGTGTAATGTTAAGGTTATCTATAGCATGGACGAATAAGACAGTAATAGAAGAATCGCACTGATGCCAACAAACACGGACACGGATTCGGCTCATTCCTTGTATATTATATTATGTTTTAAGTACTTTCCTCTAGCGTTTAATGACTGGCTATAGAATACAGAAAAGAGGTTATTGTGTTCTACGGGGTTATACACCGGGCGGGGAGTAGGGTTGCTAACTTTATATTAAAATAAATACAGTATATCTGATTTCAAAGGACTTAATTAAAGACTATAATTTAATATATTTAATCAATTTTTCATTTATAATGCTATGCTGCTAAACATTCTTAATGTAAAACGCTTAAGAAATTCACCCATGTACCCAAAGTTGGGCCTTACCCGGGACGAACCCACGACCTTTCACTATCTGGGTGATTGATATCCTGGGACTGGTTATTTTTTTAAATATTTTTCATTAAATGTATAATTCATAGTAGTTACTTTAATAAGTGTGCATCATGTAGTATATGTAACTGACACTAGTATATTCTTTGAAAAAAGTGCATTCTCTATACGAGTATTATTATTTTAAATTCCCTATGGAAACAATAAACTTATTGAGTATTGAGTGTACGCCTACACCTACATATGTATTACAAAACTCTATTTTAAAGTAGTTACGGGTACGGAAGTGAGCACAGAGCTACGCCGTGAGTGACTATGTAAATATTTAAGTGAATAATTCAAATGGTGTCATACGTAATTTTAAGATCAGCTCTCCAAAGATAATCTAACCATTTCCCACGGACAGCCAACAAGTAGTCATTTTAACGTTGTAAAATATCTCCATTATATTTGAAAATAGTAGATACTTTAATGGAATTGGACCAAAGTCGAATCGGAAAATCATAAAAACGAACGCGTAATAATTATTGAAATATTTTCCCGCTTGACGGGACTACTTTCCATATGTAATTTTCTAATTTTACCTAAACAATTCTTGCAATTTACCTACTATGTTGAATATGCAAACGTATGATGAAAAATAAACAACGAACAATTATTATAATAATCAATTTAGACAATCACATGGAACAATTCAATTATTATTAACACTATTTCTACAGCTTACTTTATCTATAATTAATCTTAATAGTTTATATTTTAATTCAACATTAAATTTGGAATCTACTTTAAATATTTAAATACACAGCGGAACACCAGAATAGGTACATTACAGGATAAATAATTAAATTGTTATTGTAACCAGCATGCAATCTTATTGCTAAACAGAAACCTTTACCACGCAATAGCACTATGTCTTAATTTATCTATAATTAATCTTAATAGTTTATATTTTAATTCAATATTAAATTTGGAATCTACTTTAAATATTTAAATACACAGCGGAACATCAGAATAGGTACATTACTGGAAAAATAATTAAATTTTTATTGTAAACAGCATGCAATCTTATTGCTAAACAGAAATTTTTGCCACGCAATAGCACTATGTCTTAATTTATCTATAAGTAATCTTAATAGTTTATATTTTAATTCAACATTAAATTTGGAATCTACTTTAAATATTTAAATACACAGCGGAACATCAGAATAGGTACATGACAGGAAAAATAATTAAATTTTTTATTGTAAACAGCATGCAATCTTATTGCTAAACAGAAACCTTTGTCATGCAATAGTACTATGTCTTAATTTATCTATAATTAATCTTAATAGTTTATATTTTAATTCAACATTTAATTTGGAACCTACTTTAAACATTTAAATACACAGCGGAACATCAGAATTACCAACATATTTTTTTTCTTTTTTTTTTTTTTTAGTTTATGAAGGTATTATCAACTTTGCACACGTTAAATAAGTTCGATAGCCACTACAGCTGAGCTACATATGTTGTTTAAAAATAGAGAGTCAAACATAGCGCTGTCAACGTTGTAAACGCAGATATAAAACCTACTTCAAAAGACAATAAATGTATTATTTAATCGCAGAGGAAACTAACCGAATATGGAACATAGTCTCTAATACCTTTAAAGCTTTTAGTGTAAAAAAAATGCTTTAAGCAAGCTGCGACAGCCCTATGACGCGGCGTTCACCGCCAAATAAGCTATTCTGTATAACAAAAAAAAAAACAGCTTCGAACTAGTCAGTCGAAGGTAGCGCTGTCACCTCAAAGCTACAATGAAAAAAAAAAAGTTTATTGACTTATGAAGTAGGTTTAATTGGAATGAATTGATTTATTTAATTTTTGATCTTATTTCAACAACTACAAAGAAAGATACTCTTTGACAGAAGTCTGTCGGTCTTATTTCTATAGTAAACATCTAGTGGAATAAAGATCAAATTGGAGTATATGAAACATCGAATTTACTTATCATTTTTCACATCACCATCATCCAAGTAGACTGTTTTGACGTCATCGAAGTATTTATGATCGATTCTGTCACCATTCTCGGCACAGCACGGAGACGGGTCGTTTTTATAGTCTACTTTGATGAACGAGACGCGCTGCTCCCTGTGACGGTAGCTGACGGACTTGTAACTGGGCATCGATGTGCCGTCACGGCACGTGGTGTTCTCCAACGCTATGCCAGTGGAGTTCCTGTGATTGGAACGCTTGCAGAGCAAAGTCTCCCGGAATGCGACGCGGTATCTGTTGACAATTAATGTAATAGTAAATCTTTTTCTTCAAATTTCTCTGTATAGAGTATGATTCCTAAGCAGGGGTGTTTCCATAGACAGCATGTTATATTTTAGGCTTTTTATAAATAGAAGAAATAAGAACACAGAAACAAAAAGTAAACGATACAAATTTTTAAAGATGTCGTAACCTTTTGGATGTAATAGTCATATATTACTAATGATCCATTAAGAAATTCAAAAGGCGCACATTTTTTTCACGAATGAATTTGTGATTTTTAATCAAACCTGTTATAGATAGTGAAAAGTCCAGCCAAATTAATTGTTCTAACATTGTATTACGCTATCTCATTTATGTTAAAATTGCTAGTAGTTGACCCAAAAGATTTCCTTGTACATACTATGTAGTACTTCTATGTAGAAGTCTTTGGTTAACTACGTTATCTAGTATTTAATGACGCTTCCAGCTGCCACCGAAAAATCGCATGAATTTTAAAAATTGAATGAAATCGCATCCGAGCGGGCGTCTGTGTTATTTAGGCTATGTTCCGATATACACTGCGACCACTGAACAGTATGACGTCAATTTAGTATACTGGAAGCCTGTTCCTTTATAGCTAGTTATACTGGTGACTTTTTAAAACGGAACGCAGTCCAGTATACTGTTACTCATATTTTTTGTCGCCATTTTCAAATTTGTTAATGCAAGGTGAATATAAATAAAGATTCCCTCTTTTCAAAAGAAAATATTATAAATTTGTGTATAAAAAAAATATTTATCAATTAAATCCATCTTATAACAAACGTAAGTATTTTTTTTTGTTTATTTAGAAACTTAGGTATCATTTTCTGATTCTGTTTCGACTGATCACGTGATCAAAAGCACTGCGAGCACCTTACCTCGAAATCTCCAGTGCTCACAGTACAAATATGGCGGCAATTTATGACGTCATAAATTTCCCTAGGGTACTGTAGCAGTGTACTGGCAGTCCATAACGGAACGAATTTTTCAGCAGTAAGACCACTGCGCAGTGCTCGCAGTGTATATCGGAACATACCCTTAAACTACATTGTTGATTGCATAGATTTTTTTTAAAAGCTGTAAGAACGTTATAATTATATATTTTTTTATGTTCGAATTTCGAACTACTATAAATTAATTACTTATTTAGTTAATACTCGTAATAGGGTAAGTTGTACATATTTTGTAAAAAATATATTTTGTTCTTAGTAAGTTTACAGGACATGGTTAATATTGTAAATAGATTTTAGTTGCCGTGCACCTTGACTGCCTCATGTTGATATAACTATATAATAATACGCAATAGCACGTTACCCCTCAACTACAAATCAGATGGCACAGTCTAGGTGACAACTTATCACCATTCTCATACCGGCACCGAATTTCTAGGGAGCAAGTTCGGGACTTGAAGTAGAACAAAGAATCCCACTCTACCTCCCTCGTTCTCTATCCTGCTGCTGCTGTCTTGCTATCCCTGACTAGCCTGCCATTTTTGTTCCTGCTTTGCTTTGTTTCCTTTTCCCTTCCGTATCCTGCACCCACCTCGAGCACCATCAAGAAAGGTATCGCCACACTCTTTATACTATTAATTGATGACTAATACAGAAAAAGAACTCTACCTTTACAAACCTGAGGCTAAATTCTGTACCTACCTAAAATTAATACAATTTATTTTCTTTTGTTTTATTGTAACTTTTTTACAAATAAATATATAGTTTATTGAATTTTGTAACTTTTTATTACTCATACTGATAACAACGTAGCAATGTACCCAGCAGGGTTATATAATATTTAAATGAAATTTGGTTGGTGTCACAAATACCTACCTGAGAAAGTTAAAAAGTCGCAATCCAGCTAAACAGAGTTGACGCGCAGAACGTGTAATGTTCTAAAACTTTAATCTCACCTTTATCTGTTCCATGGACCATGGAAAACTCATTAATTATATAACAAGAACAAGTGCGAGCTATCCACGTTTAGAACACGTGACATTAGGTATATAAATAATTATATTAAGTGACCGTATTAACCGTTAAAAGAGAAATAACTTTATTTTACTTTATTTTCACAGCAAAAAAGCCATGTTAGTATTCAGTCCTCTAAACGATTTTAATAAGTATAATATTTTAGCGTTCTCCGTGTATTTTTACAATAATTGTGATCAGGTTCGCTAAGCTCTATTATTTAGCTACTATAAATACTATTCAATTCCTACCAAGAGCTTAATTACGCTAATATATAAATAATTCCACGATGCTGACAATCTTGACTTGAAACAAGATTTCTTGTCGTTTTTTTTGTATTCGCTTAGTAACATTATTGCCTAAAATAGTAGAAAGAAATGGATCTTTCTTGACAAACTTGGTTTGAGCCAGCTCTGATCTACTGGGGACGCGTCGAACATATATTTACTATCGACCATTCTCCTGCAAAACGAAACGGCGTTTTATTTAAATTTTATCTAGAACAGTAACAGTGTTTCTTGTATTTTATTGTGACAATACATTACTTACAAATGTCAAGTGAAAGGCGAGTAGAATAAATTATTTACTTTTTGCACAAAAAAGTACGGAATAAAAGGCTGCGCATAAATAAAAAAGGGAAACGGGACGGAATCAAGCTATGTCTACACTAATGCGATTTCACGTTCGTCTTGCGTTTTCTTCTAGCGTATGCTTCAGAAATCATTGCTTGCATAATAAGCTCTAGTTACTTCATTTGTGATTTGATCAATATATGATGTATATTGATCAATTCTATTGTAAAAATAGTCATTTAATTATTTAGACAAAATTACTTCTAAAAATTATTTATTTTTTCTATAGAGGAAAATTTTATACACTCGCTTTTTTGACCGAAATCAATAGCATTACTATAGACCAATAATATCCATTAGATAGAGTCATATATTATTGATACATTATTTTACCGCAAACTGGACGGGGTGCGGTGTCGGCGGCAACCGCGGTACAAAGCGCGTGTATAATAATACTCCTATTGCTTCTCCTCCAATGAGGCAGTATTTAAAAAAATACGAAAGCACTAAAAAGCATCTCCACTAGATGGCGACTCTAGGAAAAGTTGATTTTTGCAGGAAACAAATGGACCAAAGATAGTAATTTCCGTTCCTATTAACTAACATAATAAAAAAACTGAAATTTGAAAGTAAAAAACTTATTTATCAATACAAATACGAAAAAGTACAAATAGAATATGAGTTGTTTATTGAGTCTGAAAACTAATTTACTATTAAATATGAAAGAAAACCGGAAAAGTTGCCATGGAAAAACAAGAACGTACCGTGGCGACATCTAGTTAGATTACGGGAACTAATGTTTTTTTTAAATACTTTCTCATTCGCCTACAGCGAATACATACAATAAAGAGAGTAGGTAGACAAAGTATGCAGCCTGTAGTTTATTATAGCAACACAGCTGTAAGTTATTAAAAACGCTCATAAGAGAATTATGAGATTTGAACCCTGAGTGTTAAATTTATTTTGAAAATGCCCATTTCAACGTAGACTTGTTGTATGTTTAGAAATAAAAATACAGAGTGAAAAGTTAAGCTGATTAATTCTTCGAAGCTAAAGGTTATGAAAAAAGCTTTGTTTCAACACAAAAATATTTTTATAAAAGGTCGCTAATGGTAGTGGATTTCATTGACTTAATATGAATATTGTATAGATAGTAGCTTTTATAAAAACTGTTGAATAAAATTTTTACAAAACAAAATGTAACCTAAAAATTAGGTTAATAGAGGACTAATAAAGAATCGCCTTTAACCAGAGACCCTTAAATGTATTTTCGGGTCCAGCCTTTCACGCACACTTCTCAAAAAGGACTTCTCCTTTTACAGGTAATAGGATGGCTAATTAGATCACATTGAAAAGGTTAAGTAATGTCATTAAGGCTTGTCACATGTTTTTGATGTATGTCTACCGAGACACAAGTAAGTGGATTCGATGTATAAATTTCAGTAAATATTCGCCTTCGTTGAAGAAAATCCTTTATGGCCGAAAAAAATGTATATCCCGAATGTTTTGTCTTGTTACAGTGGTCGGTAGGGTTAGCACAAGTGCGGCCGACCTCTGCGCGACCAATGACGCTGTTTTCATCGGCCAGTATAAATACGTAAGAATGTGCAATTTCACTGGGCCTGCTGAAAGAGGAGTAATTTACAATGAAACCATTATTAGTATTTGATAGAATCAGACTATCTTGCTGCAGTCCAACTCTATAACTGCGAAACTATGATATCTAGGTTTATTGTTATCTCTACAGAATAGCTGATTTAGCCCCCACTGGAAAATTACATCGAACCACTACTTTTTTTATTTCGCGCATACTTAGAAGTACGTACGTTCAGCCATAGTACCTACCAACAGCGTACCTAATAATTGATACTATGCGCGCAATGTTACATGATTGGTCTTTAATAAGAAATAAGATTTGAGATGTGTGAAGTTTAATTAAATGCGGTTAAAAAGCTATAAATACGCTAAAATCATTAATACAAGTAATAAAGTGTTTTAGAGATCAAATTGGCTGACTACCTACCTACTCGTTTAAAACTTTTAACAAACTTAAATTTTTCCGTAAAAGCAATTTTTCATTTAATTTCTGTAGAAGGTTATTGACCTTGATTCGCTGTAGAAAGAATATGTTTTTTCAAGCGGGAAATTTTCGGCGCCTCCACTTAAAATTATTATAAAATCAATTTATTCTCGACTAGGCAATTTAATTAACGCTGGCGCTATGTTACACTCGTTTGTTTTTACCCGAATACGGCGAACTGAATGATTGATTTTGGTCGGTTTGTTTGTATGCATGTTAGAATGTTCATCTTTTCCTTTATAACATCGAAACTACTCATCATAACTGGACAAATGACATATCATTAGAAGCGTCTTAGTTGTCCGCGTGCTATAGGTTATGTGAGGTTATCTTAAATTGGCAACAGCACCCTATAGATAGCATAAAGTAAGAAAC